AGTGCCCATATCTGGAGGCTGCATTACCAACAGCAGGTCAAAGATAGTTTTTAAAATATTTGCACCTGCACTGACTACACATGGGCCTTTCTTGTCATTATCTCTGAACAATGCAGTATAATGACTGTTTACATATAAGGATGATTTAAATCAATGTGAGAATGAATATAATTTATGTGTGAATATTATGCCACTTTATGAAAGGAATGATCAGCCCCAGATTTTGGTGTCTCTGGGGGTAGGTTGGGCAGTTCTGGTACCCTTTATGCATGGATACCAAAGGACTGACTGTGTTCCTTACTATGCTGTCTCTGCCTGGGAGAGGGGACGAAGGCGAGCTGGCTGCCCTGCCTCAGCAGCAATGAGAGCAACCAGGGACAGAACAGAGGAGAGGAAGCAGAAACCTATGGCTGGGGTGAGTACCACGGGAAGTTGCAGCAGTGGGACCTGCAGGATGTGTTTTTGAGGAAGCCCAAAGGCCTGAGAAGCCCCACCCCTCAATTTCCCTTTCCTTCAGGAGAGAACAAAGGGCTCAGACCAGGTTGGAAGTTCCCAGAGTGGGGAAGGAGGTAAGGGGTGAGGGGTAGGAGTTGCCATAGTGGAAACAGTAGACTATTGTCTTCCTGACTGAATCTACAAGCTTTTTTTGGCTCAGGGGACAATACATTGTAACACAGTCCAAAGTTGGAAGAACAGAAGGAAACCACTGTTAATGTTACATTTGTATCTAGCTTAGATTTGATCATGGCTAAAAGAGTAAGGAGGTATTTGTGCTCTGCTCTGAGCAGAGGGGGTACATCTCACTTGTAGAATTACCAAATTACCATCTTAATACTAACAACAGCCAGCATTTATTGAGCATTTACAGTGGGTGAGGCATCGCGCTTATTTATCCCAAAAACTTTAACTGATGCTATCTACCATCATTTTACAGATGACAAACTGAGGTTCAGATGGGTTCCTTAGCAGCCTCGAAGTAGTCAACTAAGGTTCCAGCTTCGGGGCTCAGAAGAGTACGCTCCCAACTGCGGGGCTGTGTCGCTTCCTCGCGCTTGAAGAAAGTGATCCCATCTGCACACACCCTGCCCCTGCCCCAGGCACTTAGTCTTCAAGTGCCAGAGTTACTGGGACTAGGGGGACAGGTCTTTACTGGCTTCTCGTGGGAAAGGGGAGGAGCTGGGGCTGATTCAACTGAAAGCCTGGATAGACTTGTCCTGAGGGGATCCAGTTCCTGTGAGGACAGGAATAGTCCCAGGGGAGGATGTGACAGGGTTTTAAGGAGAAAAAATAAGAAAATCCCAGGTTGTAACTTGTCCTTCGGGAAGCAGATTCTTTCTTATAAACGCAGGAAGGGGAGTCTATCTGATGCCTTCACTCATTCCAGAGTATTTATGGTAGGTACTGGGTGAAGCAGGAAGGCATTGAGGAGTTTTAAGGAGGAGATTTTAAAATTTTAAAATGATCACTCTGGCTGGAGGGAGAAAAGCGGCTTCCAACCACTTTGTCCTCTAGCCTCTGCGACTTAAGGGTGAACAGAATGAGAAAGGAAGAATTTCAGCTCCTCTCACCTTTCACTGTCCCTTTGTTAGTTCTCAGATTTCCCAGAATGCGTCTCTCCCTACTGATAACCTGCTCAGGAATCCCAGCCAAATTCACTTCTAGCATTCTCCATTAGGGGTCCTTCACGTCACCGGGTTTGGCCTGAGGTCCCGAGCCTGAAATAAGGAGTTTAACCCAGGCCTTTTATGTAAGTTTGCAAGTTCACTGACTCTTGGCATGGAAAAAGTGTGCTCAGGACAGGTCAGTAAAAGAGACCTGAGAAGGATTTTAGAGGCAGATGCTGGACACATTCAAGGGGGAGCACGGTTCTCAGAGGCACAGTACATTTGGGAGCAGGGGATCCTTTATGTGTTCTGGGAGGTGGAAATCTGGACTTTGATTATCTATAGTCTTAGTGTGTGGAGAGGATGGCCTTCCCCTAGTGAGGTAATGTTTTTTCTCTACGGGAAATCCAAAAGAGTGGTCCTTTCTTGGGTAAAAAAGGATCATTTGCAAGTAAAAGAGAATAGGGAGCCATTTGCAGTTGAAAAGCAGTTGCTCTTGTTTTTTTGGGGGGAGAAGGAAAAAAGGTCAGCTGGTCTTGGGTTCTGAAGCTGCAGGTTTTCTTTAAAGTACAATTTTTTTTTTTTAATCGGTACCAGGGATCAAACTCATGACTGCCTGCTTGCAAGGCAGGTGCTTATCCACTGAGCTAAATCCCCAGCCCCTAAAGTACAATTAAAAAAAAATATCTCGATTTCCTTGTCTCCTTTCTACCTACCTTTATTTCTTTTATCCTACCTTACTTAGGACCTTGCTGTGACATGGTTGATGAGGTCCTGGGTCAGGTTTCCAGATTCTTCTGTGCAAGGAACAAAAACTGGACATTATCTACAGTGGCAAGGAAAAAGCAGCTAATTATTGAAGTGTAGAGGTGGAAGGTAGCAACTAGGCTTGTGCTGGCAGAAAAGGAAGATGTCAGGAGCAGGGAATAAAATGGGGCTAAGGATCTGCAAATGTGTGCAGGGCCTAGGGCACCTCCCATTGGACCTTTCAGAGCATGACTGACAACATGATTGACAGTGTGCCCCGTCATAGCAGTTGTATTACTGTGTGTGTCATTTCCCATAATTCACTCTATTGTCTTTGGATGCATGAGGTGCAGTTCGTACCTATGAACTTTTAATAGCTCCAAGGAGACTCTGATACTATTGCATTTCTGCTAGGGACTTTGAGCGGTTTTCCAGGGGCCTCTGTTACTTTTTTCTCTGCCTCCAGGTAGTAGGCCTTAGGACCCAAAGCTCCTAACTGTACTGTTACTTTATTGCCAGAGGTGAGCCATGCATTTGTACTGAGTGTTACCAGGTAACATCCTGCATCAGCAGTATTAATAGAGACCCTTGTTCACTGAAAGCATTTATTTTTCTTCTCTCCCAACCCTAGCACTGGGGTTTGAGCCCTCACGGTCTTCACACTGAGCTACAACTTCAGGCATCTTTTATTTTGAGATAAGGTCTTGTTAAATCACTAACTTGCCTCTAAGAGTTCTGTGATTACAAGCTTCAGTGGAGACAGGAAAGTGGAAGTTTCGCCCATAGGCTGCTGGCAGATTCCTTTCTGGACACCGTGTCTCTGTCTTACTGGTGACTTCAGGATGGAGACAGTGCCAAGAATAACAGCTGGTACACATGTGTTCTCCTTACCCCCCGCTCTGCACTTTCCCAAAAGCTTGAATCATTTAACCCTCATTACACTCTTCTGAAGCAATACATTTACTGCTCCATTTTACAGATAAATAAAAGTACTGAAGGTTAAATCACTTGCCCAAGGTCATAATAAATAACCCTAGGCCACTATGCTCTACAGAGAATATTTTCTGGTGCTATTAGAACACCTACATAACATCAGTGTCAAGTTTTATCTTATGGTGAGTTTACTTTTATCCAACTCTATTGTTTCAATCATCTGAATGGAATTATTTCACCATTTCTCTCCCCTAATTTCTTTTATGGAAAACAGGAGAAGAAAACAGAGGATTCATTAATACTTTGGTCCTATAGTAAGAGCAAATCATGCCAAAGTAAAACATTGTGTTAAATTCCAGATGAACCTGTAAGTTATGTAGCAATGTTTGGAGAAATAGTATTCAGCAGAGACTAGTTTGTTACCAAATAGACTTTTCACCTATGAGTGTCTTTGGACCTTATTATCATAATTACATTTCCTGTTTTTCTTTTGTTTCCTCTTCTCTGAGTCACCCAGATACTATATCTTTGAAATTTGTCTTTATAGCCAGAAGGAATGAAAGAAATTGAAACTTTAACACGTTGGAAAGGAAACCCACGGTGGAAAAATTAAACTTAGTTCCAAGGAGAAATGCTGATAAAGTAATACAAATTACATTGCTAGAGCAACCCCTCTCTGCAAGTTTCTCTGACTAAGCACAGATAAAAGTTTGAGTGTGACTGCTACCACACAGATACTGATTGCAACAGCTCACAAATAAACTCACTGTTTTTGCTTAGTTATTAATTTATTTTGAAATAGTCTTACTGTGTAATTCAAGCTGACCTTGAACTCACTCTGTAGCCCAGGCTAACCTCAGACCTTCCTGCCTCAACCTTCCAAGAGCTCCGATGACAAGTGTGTGCCACCACACCCAGCCTTTTTGCTCAGTCTCATGGTGGTATGACAGAGCTAGACTACACTTGCTGAAGTCAGAAATTTTAACTCATTTTACCTCATTCATTATTCATGTAGTTCTGGGGATTAAAAGCAGAGTCCAGTACATGTTAGGCAAGTGCTCTACCACTAAGCTACATTCCCAAAGCACCCCCCACCTTTTACTTTAAAGTTTACTTTGATAAATTGCCTAGGTGGCCTGAACCTTCCAGTCCTGCCTCGGTCTTTTAAGTAGCTAAGATTGCAGGTGTCTACCATCATGTCCAACAGTATTGCTCTGCAACCCAAATATTAATTCTTTTTTTTTTTTTTTTTGTCTTTTTCGTTTTTATCGGTACCAGGGATCGAACTCATGACTGCCTGCTTGCAAGGCAGGCGCTTATGCCGCTGAGCTAAATGCTAAATCCCCAGCCCCCAAATATTAATTCTTTGACCAGCATCTGTTTACCTCACCACAATCCACATATACACCCATCTTCACTCCTTACCCCAAGAAAATAGTATTATTATCTCTTTCATTCTTGAAGTTTTATTGTTGTTACTATTTTTTTGGAGAGGGGAGACTTCATCATGTAGTGTTTGTCTTTTTGTGCCTGGCTTCTTTCCCTGTCCGCTAGGTTTATCATATCGCAAATGATAGGTGTCATGGTTCATGTCAGTGGTCCCTAAGCCTCATGCAATTATGGACTCCAGCAAATCTAGTGTTTGTGATTGGTTCAATGTCTAGCACTCAGATTGGTGGTGCGAGTGTTTCACTCCCTCAGGGGTGGAGCCAGGATATGATGTAATGGCAGGAAGAACGTCTCTCTGTCCCTTGCTGGTTTGTGCTTGCTGTTTCCAGCGGCCATGAATGGCAGCCACCTTGCTACCGTGCCGCTTGGAGCCAACTGAGTATGGACTGAAACCTCCAACTGGTAAGAAATAAACCTTTCCTGCCTTCGTTTTGGGCGTCAGGTATTTTGTCCCAGCAACCAGTAAAAAGTAACTAAGACAATAGGATTTCCTTCTATTTTATTTCATTTATTTATTTATTTGTCTCTTTTGAGACGGGGTCTCGCTATGCAGTTCAAGCTGGCCTTGAACTAACTTTGTAGCCTAGTCTGGTCTTGAACTCGCAACGATCCTCCCACCTCAGCCTCCCGAGTGCTGGGATTACAGGTGTGAGCCACCACGCCCGGCTCTTCCTTCTATTTTAAGGGTAAGTGGTATTTCTTTGTGTATATATTCCATGTGTTCTTTATCCATTCATCAGTTGTTGGATATCTAGGCTGATTTTACATTTGGTGATTGTGAATAACACTGCAGCAAACAGCTCTTGGACATACTGATTTTATTTCCGTTTGATATATAACTAGAAGTGGGATTGCTGAATCATGCAGGTGTTCTGTTTTTGAGGAATCTCTATACTGTTCTCTGTAATGGCTATGCCATTTTATATTTGCAACAGTTGCCTGTCAGGGCTCCCTTTTCTCTACATCCTACTCAATAATTGTTAACTCCCTCTTTTTTTTTTTTTTTTTTTTTAAACAAAAAGCATTCTTAGAATTGTGAGATAATATCTTGTTGTGGTTTTAATTTGCATTTTATGATTTTGAGCACCTGCATATGCCTGTTGGCCATCTGTATGTCTTCTTTGAAAAAATGTTTACTCAGTATCGTTGTTCATTTTATAAAATTGGGTTGTTTTCTTGCCATTGATTGCTTGAATTTCTTATATATTTGCTATTAACTACTTTCAGATATATAGTCTGCAGATATCTTCTCCCATTCTGTCAGTTCTCTCTTGACTTTGTTCATTGCTTCCTTTGCTGTGAGGAAGCCTTCTATTTTAATTCAATCTCATTCAGGTGTTTTTGCTGTTATTGCCTGTGTTTTGAGGTCATGGTATATACAGAGCCCTTCCTGGTCCTCATCACAGTCTGGGAAGTTTATATTTGTAATCCTATGGGAAAGTTATTGAAATTCTAGTGAATTAATTCCAATCTACCACTTTCAGTGCGACACATGGCAAAAATAAAGGCATATTTGTAGTTGTGGGGAGTCAAGAAGGTCCTAAGTCCAGTCAGAATAATGGTTAATTTGAAGAAAGCCTTGACCCAGGTTCAGACCCATTTTATTAATTTATCTGCAGTTGTGGCGGAGTGGTGAGTGTCACGATCTGGGCTTGGTAGGTGGCCTGAAATCACCTCTGCAATATGCAGAGAGAGATATAAAAAAAAGAGTAATCTGCGTAACACAGTTCTAGGCAGTATCTAATGTTTTGGTATTGGTGTTTCTGTTCTGGTGAGTAATTTTTTATGCCCTGGGAAGTCATAGCCTCTTATCTCAAGGTGTGATCCCAGCATAGAGCATGGCTCTCCCGCCCCAGCTCATACATGATTCTTGGGAGCTGTGGGGCTGCAGCAACACTGACCTGCCACCTTGCTTCAAAGGCTACACATCAGCACCTCCTCTAGACCAATCTGCATTGCTTAAAGCCAGAGGAGGGGATGAGGACAAAACTCAGCCATGCACATATCAATACAGGGAAGTGGGGTCAGGTCTAGCCAAAATGGAGATAAATACAACTCTTCTTCAAGGAGAGTCGTCCACAATAGTGACGAAATTGCTGCTAAGACCAATGTCAAGAAAATTTCCTGTGTTTTCTTCTACTAATTTTATAGTTTCAGGTATGATATGTAAGTCTTTAATTTATTTTGCCGTGGGTTTTTAAAAAAAAAATATAGGATTAGGGGGCTGGGGATTTAGCTCAGCGGCATAAGCGCCTGCCTTGTAAGCAGGCAGTCGTGAGTTTGATCCCTGGTACCAATAAAAAGGAAAAAGACAAAAAAAAAAAAAAAAAATATATATATATATATATATATATATGATAAGATAAGGGTCCAATTTTATTTGTCACTATGGGGATATCTAATTCCCCAACAGCATTTTTTGCATTGTTTTGAGATAGAGGTCTTGCTATGTTGCCCAGGCTGGACTTGAACTAATGATTTTTCTGCCTCAACCTTTTGAGTAGCTGAGATTTTAAGGGATTTTAGGGGTGTACCACCATGCCTGGCTTACAATAGTCTTTCAGTAAAAAGACTGTGTGATCATGATACTTTTGTCAAATGTTTGGCTATCTTTTGAGCTCTTTTTTCTGTTCTACTTGTCAGCATGTCTGTTTTTATACCATGCTATTTTGATTATTATAGCTCTATAGCAGATTTTAAGATAAGGTAGTGTGATGCGTGCAGCTTTCCTTTCTTCTTTATTCTCTCCCTCAGCATTGTTTTGGTTATTCAGGGTATTTCATAGCTCTGTACAAATTTTAATGCTGTCAGAATATAGATAGGTATTACATCAACTCTGTAGATTCCTGTGGGCATTATGGATATCTTATTTTACTTTATTTTATTTTTTTACTGGTACCAGGGATTGAACTCACAACCATGCACTTGCAAGCGTATGCCACTGAGCCAAATCCCCAGCACAGTATGGATATTTTAACAATATTAATTCTTTTAAACCATGAGTATAGAACATTTTCCCATTTATTTGGGTCTCCTTTGTTTTTCAAGATTTTACCTTCTCACTGTCAGGTATTTTGCTTCCTGGGTTAAACATTTCTAAATTTTTAATGTGTTTGAATGTTATTACAAATGGGATAAGTGTCTTGAATTCTTTTTTTGTACAGTTCATTGTTATATAGAAATACTACTAGTTTCTCTATATTAATTTTGTATCCTGTTAGTACATTTGTTTATTAATTCTAACAATTTTTTGGTGAAATACTTAGAGATTATACATAAAATTATGTCATCTATAAACGTAGACAGTTTTTCAAACCAGAAAGGTTGGATGTCTTTTATGTCTTTTTCTTGCCTAATTGTAATTTTATTGAGTTGAAGAACAAATTTTTTCTTTCCTTAATTTGTGGAAAGTTGGTGTCATGAAAAAAAAAAAACTGGAATTTTGCTTTGGTTTTCTGTATCTACTAAGATGTCCATGTGACCTTTTTTTTTTTTTTCCGGTCTTTTTCGTTTTTATCGGTACTGGGGATCGAACTCATGATTTCCTGCTTACAAGGCAGACGCTTATGCTGCTGAGCTAAATCCCCAGCCCCATTCCAGTAATGTGGTCTGGTTTGTGAATGTTGACTCATGCTTGCATCCTAAGGGTATAACTCACCTGATCATGGTGAATGATTCTTTTTTTTTTGTCTTTTTCCTTATTTCGGTACCAGGGATCGAACTCACGACTGCCAGCTTGCAAGGCAGGTGCTTATGCTGCTGAGCTAAATCCCCAGCCGGTGAATGATTCTTTATAAGTACTGTTGATTTCAGTTTGTTGATGTTTTGATGAGGATTTTTCTCACCGCCTCCTTGCTCTCTGATAGTGGCCAGTGAGGCATCATGGGTGAAGAATGACAGTAAGAAAAGACCTAATTCACTTTGTCACAAGCTCATTGCCATGCTAGTAACACGCATCCATTCATTTAGGCAGAACCCTCATGATCTAACCATCTCTTTCCTTCCACTCAACACTGCTGCACTGGGGCTTGGGTTTCTTGCATGTGACCCTCGAGGGACGTGTTTGCACAACCACAGCACTGATAATCCTATCTCCTGAGCAGTCTCCTCAGACACCTGTACCAAACACAGATCAAGAACCTCTAGCCTGGTCTAAATTTCTTTGTACAAATGCAAAAGCTGAAGATCTGAGAAAGGCAATGGCCTTTCTAAAATAAATTAAATTATTAGAGTCTCAGGAAGACTACACAATGAATAGAATCCTCTCCATAAAAGGAATTAGCAGTGTCTGTCATTTTCTAGTTGTTGGCTACATTATCTGACTTCCACAACTTAAAGGAGAAGTTTGCTTCGGCTCACATTTTTAGTCCATCGTTGGCTGGCTCCCAGGCAGAAATGGCATGGGGAAAGAGTTTGGTAGATGAAATCTGCTCCTCTCCTGGCAGCCAGGAAGCAGAGAGCAAAAGGAGAAGCTGGAGAGAGTGGCTAAACTCTTTCAGGTCACCCCCAGTTACATGGTTCTGACCAGAGCCCACCTCCTAACAGCAGCTCATCTATGAAGTGATCAGTGGGGTGCTCCACTGATACGTGTAATACCCTCTCAATCCAAACATGTGAGGCTGTTTGGAGACAACGTATATCTACACCATGACAAAGAGTTGTCCAGAAGGGGAGAAATATGTAGAACAATAAAACTTTCTGATGATTGTAATTACAGACAGTGTCCTTATTCAAAAACATTTCTGGATACTCAAAATGCCCTAATGTACACTTGATTCATGTAGTTATTATCATTTCCCTAAACAGATTTTTTGGAGCAAATAGGTGCTCACATATTCACCACCTGATAATGACCCATTCCTCTATTCAACATTTATCTATTGAGATTGGCTGTGAGTTTGTTTTGCATGGTTTTAGATGTAGGTGATAGAGGTGAACAGGAGACCTCATGGAGATTTCATTTCTAGTGAGTAAAGAAGATGATTTTTAAAAAGTATAGCAGCCTACCTGATACTCTCAGATAGTAAATCTAGGTGAGGGGAATGGGAGTTTATTACATATGGTGACTAGCAATGACTTCTCAGTGGAGGTGATATTCCAATAGATGATTAAATGATATAAAGGATCGTGGCAAGCCAAATCTATGGAATGTTCCAGTCAGACAGAAGGGTGATTACAATAATGGGGGACAGGGATGTTTAATTCACAAGAAGATCATCAGTGAGTCCAGAGCCAAGTGAGAGAACTGGAGAGGGGAAGGAGTGAACTCAGAGCTTTAAATTGGTCACCTGGGCACGAGGGCCTTACATGGAGTCTGAAATGTACTCTAAATGGATGGAGAAGTGTTTTGAATAGGGAAGTGTGTGTTTTATGACATCTGAATACAGTGTGGCTTCCAAAGG